TACAGTACGTGAAGTTCTTACACAAGAGATACAATCTACTATTGACACTACAGTTAAGAAGCGTCAATCTCTAGCCCGGACTTTATTTAATAATATAAAGTTCAAACCCGAAATCTTTCAAACCCTATTTTTAAAGGGATTAATGAAAGATAACCCTGAAGTACATGCACACATAATGCGACTACTAAATAAGTCGAGTGTAGCAAATGCGTATGAACGTACTAAAGATGCGCACGCAGTAGAGGGTCAGGAGTCTGCAAAACTACAGACTTCGAGCATACGGAAGTGGATTCTCAACACCCTACCTTTATTCTGGAAGAGCAGAATGATGAAAACATTCTCACATGGCTGACGCAATATCATAAGCTGAAGCACCAGAACGTAGTAAAAGTGCTTAAAGAGGCCAAGCAAAATGGGTTAGCGAACCCTAAGCTGGCAACTTTAGTGGATAAAGTATATCAGTTATGTACATGTTATGATCTCAATCAGATCAAGCGCTATGGGTTCGCACCACTTAAGAGTGTGACCGAATATATTCCATGGCGCAGGGTCATCATTGATCTAGTTGACCTGCCTACGTCCGAGCACACAGGCAACCGTAACGTATGCCACTTCTTTGATGTGGCGTCACGGTTTAACATGCTCTATCCATTAAAAGATAGAAATACGCAGGCCGTGGCAGAATTATGTTGCCAAGTTTTTGCTGACCACGGGTGGCCAGGTATTATGTGCTCTGATAACGGTAGTGAGCTCTGCGATGACGTAATGGAATCGCTAGTACTTGTATCAGGCATATGCCATAAGAGAGGTGTGCCATATAAGCCGCGAACGCAAGGCGCGAATGAAACGCGCCATAGAAGACTTAAGTTCTTCTTGCGTACTGCATTAACGGATGATGCAGATGATTGGCCGTACCACCTTAAGTGGGTACAAGCACAGATGAACGAGTGTACTGATCCGGTTACAGGAACTACACCCGCTCACTATTTCCGTAGCAGATATAGTGAGATACAAATACCCTTTTAACAAGGACGAACCTGATCACCATGAGTTACCATGGTTAGAGAAGGTACAACGTATTTATAACGTTGTATATTCTTGCTTGCGAGAAATACGCAATATAGCCTTATTAAAAGGGCAAAAGTGTTGGAACACTACCAAGTGTAACATTCGGTCTCTCAAGGCGATATTAACGCCTTAGAGTAAATAAACGCGTAGGTATTCTAAGTATCGTGAAAATATCAAAGTAAATAAACGAAATGAGACTTTTAGTAAAGTTAAGTATGCCTCGTGAAAACAGCAATACTCTGAGGGATTGTGAGGCTGAGACATTGCCTAAATATTATCCTCTCAGTACTGTTTCCGCCGTAGGGATTTTATTTAGTGTTTCGTTGTCGCTCTATTAGAAACTATGGTATGTTTCATTGGGGCGAATCTGAGAGACTCATAAAATCCTATCTTTAGAAGAAAAGAAAAATTGAAAAAGAAAAATACTCTGATACTTCGGTAGCGAGATGACTCAACCGAAAATAGGTTTCTAGGGACTATTAATGTTACCTACTTGATCCTCCGTTCAGCCAACCAGATGTGCCAGTCTGATGATGGCAAGTCGGTAATTCTTGATAGTGGAAAGTTATTGGTTAAGATAATAACAAAAGACATCACGAGTATTTTCTTTTTCTTTTCACTATTTTTTTCTAAAGCGAGGATTTTATGAGTCTCTCGGATTCGCCCCAACGAAACATACCATAGTTTCTAATAGAGCGACAATGAAACACTAAATAAAATCCCTACGGCGAAAACAGTACTGAGAGGATTATATATAGGCAATGTCTCAGCCTCTCACAATCCCTCAGAGTATTGCTGTTTTCGAGCTTTAGAAGACTTTATTACGTTTAACTACTCTAAGACGTTAGTATCGCCTTAAGAGACCGAAACTTACACTGCGACATATGAGCCCATATGAAATTGTAAATCAAGCATACACTCGCGTTTGCGGGCCATTGATTGGAAATACTTGTGAGTTTATAATCTTAAGACAAAAAGCCTGAATTTTTATCAAGTATACAGTACTATAGAGAATTGAAACACTACGACGACCAACTTCGGCGATACTAAGATCACATACTATGCGAAAGTTTTAATTCAGCCGAGTTGTATCTGATACAGTCGTGTAGCAACATATAGTTAAAAAAGCCTTCTCTCTGTGAACCAATATACATACTCAGTGGCATAAATATATACAAACGGACGTGATTCACAACAAAATCGGAACAAGTAGGTAGGGGCTCTCGTTATTCTAACCACTTCCGTTCCCTTCATTACTTCGTAGATTATTCTTATGAGTTCGTGAACATCGCCTGCATGTGGAATAAAACATTTTTGATTGTGTGTGGACACATATTTAATGAATCTCAAAATTTCATATATATATATATATATATATATGTGTGTGTGTGTGTGTTGTGTGTGTGTGTGTGTGTGTG